CAAGTGGGAGATTAGCTTACATTTTTGTTCAGCTTTTCTTGTGTAAATTCAGTGGTTGACTTAGCAAAGTACTTTCTCCTTCACACTGCAATGTGCAGTGATTTTTTTAATTTTTTTTTTTTCTTCTCTCTCCTGAGGAGTATAGGAAATACCTGAGCCTGTACTTCCAGTTTTCATCTGCTCAAATTTAGCACTCTTAAAAGACATATTTGGAGCCATATGCCCTCTGGAGCCTCTGTATTTTAAAACTTGGTGTAGCAAGCTGGAAGACTAAAAATGGCAGAAGGCATGAGGGGAAGGAAGAAAGAGAGAGCATGTTAGGGACCATCATCTGCATTATTCATATGTTGTATAATTTCTGATGAGCTAGCCATGAATTAGAGATTGCAAATACTTTATTAAACCTATAAAATGAATGCTGTTCATGGTACATGGTTTTATGAAGTATTTTAATAGACCTGAAAATACTGACTTTGCCCTCCATGACCCTAGGGCTGACTGCAAATGAAGCAGACAGAAAATTTCCTTTGTATTAAAAGTAGTAGTGAAGTGTGTGGGAGGTGTAGAAGTGACTGAATTTCCCCTTTGGTACATAAATAATGATGGTAGTTCTGGTGGAATGGAAGTGAGAGGAGAAAAAGAAGGGGAGCCCCTCTTGAGCAGAGAGGACTTGCTAGAATAAGCAGCCCATCCGTAGAGGGGTTTGATAGATAGATTTGGGTGGGGTTTTTAGTTTCCTGAGTTAATTTCTAAAGGTTGTATTTAAGTGCATTATACTCTCAAGACTCACAGCTGGCTGAAATCTCCACCTGGTTTCTCCCTAGACGACGAGCGCTGCTTAGCTGGTTCCCTGGTACCTACAGTCAAGAGGGTTAATCTCGAGTATACTTTAAATCTACATTTTCAGTTTTATGCTTTTTATAATAATATTTCTAGTTTTGAAATAAAGAATTGCATACTGTGCCATGCTAGAATACGTGTTTTCATGTTTACCTTGTCTTTTATTAAGAGGACTTCAGCTAATCTTCTGCAACACGCGTTTCAGTGATTAAACTACTGTAATTAAAGCAATATTGCAGGCAAACACTTTTGTTATTGACAGTGCAAGGCAAGCGTGGGATTCTCAAGAGTTAAAACGCTTTTTTGCCAAAATATATAAGGATCAGCTGGAGGTTTTGCATTAACCTCTGCTGGGATATGAAGAGAAGTTTTCTTTGGCAAAAAGCAAGTGGTGACACCCATGCTGGAAGGGTCAATGTTATTACAGCAACCAGTCATAAAAAAACAGATTTATATGAAAACTAAGGATTTCAGCTTTACGGTGTTGCGCTTGTTTTAATTACTAACATGAAACAGTGGTGTGTCAAATAATGAGCTTTTTGCTAGGGTTAACTAACAAAAACTTTTGTGCTGGTTCTTGTCTTCTCTAACTTGGTGCCTGTTAGTCCTTTTTTATTACCATGTAGAAGAAGCATAGAAAATTGTCTTTGACTGTGCCTAGATTAGTGCTCACTGTATGCAGCATCAGGTGGCTCCTGTATCATGAGGAGTAGGTGTATTGGGTAGATCTATTGAGCTGAAAATACCCATGGCAAAATCTAGGAATTTAGAAATGATTCACCTTTTTCAGATGCTCTTTAAATGAATTAATAATTTAATGTTTAACAATGTTTTTGTTTAAATACTTTTCCATTAGAGGACTTTTAAGGTTAACTTTACACAGAAGAACTTAGATATTCAGTATCTTGACTGCTAGATGTAAAAGTTCCATGATAGGACTGTTGGATCAGAAAAGCTGCTGTTTTCTGAGTGGGGAACAAGGTTTTAAAAAAAGCTTTCACTAAAGCTCATTTTTGTTAGAAATAAGACCTATATTTTTGTCCTGAAGTCAGCTGATCATCTAACAAAGATCAGGTCTTTTGCACTGTAACATGCCTTTTTGTTCAGAACAAGTTCTCTGCTTAAGAAGTCTAGACATGCAACTTAAAGTATGGAAGTCTCAAATTTGGAAAAAACATGGTGTGTTTTTAATACCTTAAAGTTTTATTGTTAATTTGCAGAAGTTTTTGTTTGTAAAAGTTGTGCAGATAGTGTTATTTCAAGGAAGACTTGATCTGTGCTGTCATTGGAGAGTTTACTCACTCGCATGGCCCAAAAGAAAAGGAAATAATGAGAGATTTCAATAAATATTGGACAGGGGGGAGAGAAAATACATAATGATACATAATGGGAAATAGCTGATAAAATTATTATTGTAACTTTTTCTGCCTTGTGAAATCCTAATTTCATGTTTATGGAAAAGCCCTGCAGCAGTCATCTTCTCTCCTTACTCTACTTCTAAATCAGCTTGAAAAGGACTTTGGGGTGTTTTTTGTTTTCTTTTTTTACTTTATTCTTTTATTCTTCTTTAAATTCTTTAGACAAATTCTCACTTTACAGATTGGAGATTGAACTGATTGTTTCAGGTAGACATTTCATCTAAGAAACATTTCTGCTTTTTTTGAGTGTATAATCTCATTCTTCTAAACGCAGAACAGTTATTAGGGAAAAACATTCTTTATTCTGGCTTTGCAGATGTATTTGATATTTTATACTATTTCTAGGTATTCTACACAGATAATATTCATTACTATTATAATAGTCATAAAAATTCTGTAAAATCATAGTTTATTATTCCATTAAACAGACTGCTTTCCACCCACACCAACAAAGTTTGTTTATATTTAATAATGTTATGCTAATACTATGTCTTAATCAGAGAGACACACAGAGTCTTTTTCTATCTGCTGGTTCTGAAATACACAGTCCAAGTGCTGCTCTTTGTGTTCTCAGATGGTGGGGATGTGCACTTAACACCTTGGAAAAAAAAATTTAATTTGTTTTTGCTTTTTTAACTTTGTTAATGTATGTGTCTCTAAAATGATCTTTCATTCAACATTTGACAAAATGTTTTCACTGAGTTTCACGTGTTCTCTAGCTTCAGCTTGGCCCTTTTAGCTGCTGCTGGTCAGAACTGGATACATTTGTTACCTGAATAAATACTGTTTTGCCACTAAAGAGAAAATGACCTATAAACTGGCTTGAGTACTGGGGACTTCAAAGCAGGGGACAGTCACAGTGAGGAGGAAGAAAAAGCTGATTCTAATCTGAAGGTGCATGCAGGTTCAACCATCACTATCTTATCCAAGATGAATAAAAGTTATGCAAAGAGTTGACAGTTGAAAATAATGCTTTCAGATGTTGTCTGCTTTAGTCATGAAAGTTTATCCTAAAGTTTTATCTGAAGCACTTTTTCCTAAACTTTTTATTAAATTTTCAGTTAATGTAAAACTTAGAAATGAACTGCTGGAGAGCACTTTCCTTCTGGTGTTTTGAAGAACTCTCTAATAAATGTTCCCTCTTTCTAAATTATAAGTGCCAAACCTTGTATAGAAATCTCTAATTTGAAAGATAAGCCCAGTTTTTTGTTAGTCTTCCATTACTGTGATCAATTACGGGTACTCTGCTGCTGATTTCAAGAAGCACAAGCTGTCTTACAAAGAGACATTCCACATAAAAAGCCTTACTTATTTAATTAGTTTATTGAAAGGTTTTGATTAACTTTTTTTTTTTATCATGTGCTGGATAAGTTCCACAGGTGCTATAGAGTGATGGTTGGAGAAATAAATGTTCTTTAGGCTGTAGTTTCTGCTTTGCCCTATAGAGTTTAACTTCAGCTCATTAATCCTCAGTGAGCAAGTCAGTCATGAAAATGTACCTTGCTAACTTGAAGTTCTAAGTAGTCTGTAAGAACTGATTAAGTAAATTTGATGGTACAAAAGTCTAGAAGTTAACCTCTCAAGACTTTTCTAGGTGTAAAACATAGAAATGAGAGGTGTTTTGTCTTAATAGTTACTTGAGATGTAGTTTTATTATTAATTATAAAATTTAGAAAACCTCATCATTAAATTTAAATCTGTGCTTTTTATTTTTCCTTTATTTTGTACTATCAGATGTTGACTGAAGAGCTTTTATATGAAAATGTAACTGCTTTTTAACTAACTTCTTACTGTATATAAACTTAAAAGTTAAAATGCTAGCTTTTAATGGTGGTGTTCATTCAGTTTCCCCATTCAGTTTGCCACTGTACAGCCAATCGATTGACCACTTTATATGGTCATATCTAAATATTTTCATCAACATTCAGATATGAAACATGATATCTGATACAATATAATTGTTGTAATCATCCAAAGGGGATTTATTATTTGAACTGATGGAAGTCCCATACTGGGAGGGGCACAGGGCATCAAAACAAGCAAGAAAGTTTCATATGAAACTCATCAACGCATTAGGTTTGATTGGATGCAAACCTCCTTTTGGCTGAAATCCTCTGCCTGTAACAAAGCAATCCTGCGCAATAAGAATGCCTGCACCTCTAACTCTGAGATTGCTACACGTTCTACATCATCACGTTCCTCGCATAGTTGCAATATAAAGATTAATTGATATCTTTAATAAGACGCATACAGAAGACATTCAGTTTTCATGTGACATGACACTTAATGATCTTATCCTAAAAACTTCTATAGAGGTGTGATTCAAATGTGAAGCACCTTTATGAGTGGTGCTGAAAGTTAACGTGTAAAGACTTGTCATAGCACTCTAAATAAGTAGTGTGTTTATTTTTCTTTCTGTAGTATTTCAGTTACTGGTGCATTGGGTCATCCTGTTCCTCATGTGATACAAAAATGACCAAATCTGTTAGAAGTTATTCGAGTGTTTTTTATCTAATGTATACTGTTTTAAAAGTACACTTAATAAAAATAAGTTTGCCATAGAGGAATTTTAATGTCTTATAGATGTATGATCTGTTGGTTTTTACTGAATGGTTACAATATGAGCTAGTTAAAATATTACTTGAATATTACTTAAATAACTTTGTTTTGTTGTAGCTGAAGAAGAAACCTAAGACATTGAATCCTCCAATCCGTAGAAACTGGGAAAGTAATTACTTTGGGATGCCCCTACAGGATCTGGTTACGCCTGAGAAACCGATACCTCTGTTTGTTGAAAAATGTGTGCAATTCATTGAAGATACAGGTAAGATAGGAGAACTCATGGAGGAAAGACTTTTCCACTTTGCATAATGAGTAAAGCCTCTCATTTTCTGTTTTGAAGTATTTTTAGAATTTTATCCTAGAAATAATTTATTATGAGAAAAACACATTTAAAAAATAGAATATGTTCTCTGAAATTGTATGCTTTGTATGTATTTTGACTTTATTTACACAACTATTTAATTTCTTTTTGACAAACATTTGAGGTTTAACATTTATTTCCTGTAATTTAAAAAACTTACGTCACTTTCTGATGCCAATTGACTTTTAAGCCAATGGCATTCCAGTCTTGCATGTCTCACTGTTGCCACTGTATTTTACTTCATGTATTAAAAAGCTCTGAAATCCACTTCTTCCCATTGCAGAAAACAGGTACTTGGTATGGCTTAATTCGTCAGCTTGCTTGCTTTATTTTGCTGGTAATCCTATTTTTGCATTTTAACTTGTTACAGGGACAGAAACATTTATTTTCTAAATATTGTATAATTCTACATGAAAAACGTTAAGCAATTTGTTTAACTTGCAGATTTCCAGCCTAATGTAAGATATTAATATATATGTGTTTGCACTAGGGTGAAATTTCACAGTATGGTTTTCTCTCTCTCCTTTCTTCCTGGCTCCCTGGTTGTGAGTTTGTCCCTGCTTTCAGCCTGTTTACTGTGTGACCATGAGGCAAGTAGGATGATCTTGCCGGTCCAACAGAAGACTACGTTTAGGAGTAGGGCGTTGTTTTGAGATTTGGGAGTGACCTGTGGTTGGGTTTTGTTTGCTTTTATCTTTTTTGTTTTTAAAGACGGTGAGCACCAGTTTTTGCTTAGTGTGTAGATCTTGCTTGCTCTGAAGTTTGCATAAATGCTATATTGCTATATTTGAAGCAAATGAGAGCGTGAAACTGACTGACTGAAGCTGAAACATAGGCAGGACCATTTTTGATGAGTGTCTGCAGCTCGATATCGTTTAAAAAAGTAAAACAGCACCTTTTTCCAACATTTTCTTAGTTCTGTAATACAGTTTTGTCCATAAGATGACAGTAACAGTTTTAGCAAGAGTAAAACAAAGGTTTTCTTTCTTAAACTAAAATTCAGTTTTACTGCTGTCTGTAAGAGTAGTGTTTCCAGAAGAACTACTACAGGTGATGAGCCTAGCAGCTGTTTTCGAAGACTTATATACTGCATTATTGCAATCAAAAAAGTTAGGTGAAACCACAGGCACTGATCTTTTGGGAGTTAAGAGTTGTTAGTATAAATTTGTCTTTAACCTTTACCTCCTATTGATTCCTTGCCTAAAGGCAAGAGCTGTATTTTCCTCCCTCTTGATTTGCTTTCCCCACTTCACCCAGGAAAAATGGGGAAGGAGGAGGAAGGGTAAGGAGTAACAGAGTGGTATAGGCAGTTTAATATATATTTTGTTTGCTATTATATGTAGCAAAACCCCCCCAAAACCCAAAGCAAACCAACATCATTTTATGGATGAGTCACTGTCTGAATTTGCATTCTTTAAAAATGGCTACATACAGCTACTATGTATAGATATATAAAACAGACATTCACCACTGCTGAAGATCAAATGACTTTTTGAAGAGTTTGTAGAATCTAGAAGTAATACCTTAAATTTGAGCATGTTTAACTTTGTAAGAATACTTTCAAACAACAAAATTATAAATCCAGACCTAAAGAAAATTGCATTTGCTTAAAAGTAATGTTGTCTGATATCTGTTGGTTTTGTGGTAGCCTTTCAAAAGAAAGTCTAGTATTTCCTTCCAAAGGATTTTCACCACCTTGTGGGGTGAGAGAGAGAACTGTAGTAGTGTGGGAACATGATTCATTGTGGGTTTTTTCTCATAATCATCAAATAACACAAGCACCCATAAGATTTAACACTTTTATTCTCCTCTAATGACCAATTTTTGAAGAATAAGATGTTTAGTTAAGCTGCTGCTGTGTTCACAATGCGATGGGATCCTCAAAAGTGGTGGCTCAGGAGGTACTGCTTTTCCTTTAGCTGGTTGAGTATATCTTAGTTCATCCTGGGATGCTGCTATGCAGCTACTGAAAGCTGGAGAATTTTAATTCTGGCCATATGTGTAAGCTGGACAAACATTGTGCCATCTGCATGCTTTGTTTGTGGCTGTGGAAACAGTAGTGAGTCAAGATGGAACAAAACCTCTACTTTTGATCTGTATTACTCTTTTCTTTCTCCTACGCTGGATTCTGTGTAAGTAGCTTTGGTTGTTCTTTTCAACTTCCATACTTGGCTGCTGGAGTTTTATTTTTGGTGTGTATTATTTTTATATTGGGTTAATATTCTGTAGGTATTTGAGTTTCAAGCAGTGTTCTGATAGAAGATATTTGTTGCTTTTGAGAAGAGAATGTTCACTTGCATTGCCTTCAAATCCTGTACTGAGATAAAGTCACATCACTGACTTTGGAACTGTCCGAGTGAAAATTCCACAAATATAGTTTTGGAGATGATCAGTCTGCAGAAGGCAAGTCAGGATCTATTGGGTTCAGGCTGGAGTCCAGAATTATACCATTCCCATTTGGTAAAGCTATTGGATCAGCTACTTGGCCCTGGGGAGTCATCCAGTACTTCAGCTGTCTCTTAGCAAGTCAGCCGACTATCAGTACTAACCGAACTGAATGCCAGTGTTTATTATCATTGTCTTTTTAATTAAGAAGCACAGTCTTTTCAAACTCTTCTTGAATGAAGCTAATCAATCAATTAATTTCTCTTACAGAGGATGTATTTGTTTAGCTTTCATTTTTAAGGTACTTTCATGGATTTCAGCTCCTTCCTCACGTATTACCTCACGTAATTTGCATTGTGGCTGAATGGCAGTTTTTTTTGCAAAGATATGATTAATTTCAAATCAAAAGGCTAATCTTAATATTTAGTGTTCCCTGTCTCTGCCTCATGAAATTATACAAGATGGTACTTTGTATCCACTTGTCTAAATTGTGACTGAGGCTAGAAAATAAGCAGTGAGAAAAACAGTTTTCTCTGTTTTGTTTTGCTTAGATAAGATAATATCAGAAAGTGTCTTTGAAGATTCTTGCTCCACCATAAACCTGAAAGAATTGAGCGCATGCAGAAAACAGTATCAGCTTTTTGTTTTACCATACTGTTCTGGAATATCCTCACAAAAAAGAAAAAGAAAAAGTGTGAATCAGTAGAAGAGGAACAATTTGGAAAAACTGAAGTAAATCTAGGAGCTGAAAAGTTCTAGTCTTTTATAAATCAACAGATTTTTCTTTTGAAGGAGCCATATGGATCCCGTCAGGGTAAAGAAAGATCTGGTACAGATAAGGGATCCTAAGTCAGGGTGTACAGATATAGGTATTTTCCATGTGTTCCTATTTAGTTTGATATTTTGCAACAAGAAATTTTATTCTGGACAGCTTTAGCTTGGAGTCAACTAATAGCTGTTTTTGAAACATAATCTAGCGCTTGAATCCCATTGGAATCTTTTTGATAGTATTGGAAGTATAAACTGAGGAAGCAAATGATTAATACTTGAGCAGATCTAAACCTAATGAGTAGTAAGTATGTATCAGAACCTCTGTTTTAGCAGCAGTGTGTCCTGTTGTTTATACTAATAGTACAAAGCAGTAATAGCCCATAATACTTTGTCTTGTTGGAACCTATTGATTAAGAAAAAATTTTTGCAGTAACATGTAAGAATATCTTAAATTCAGTAACACGGTCACTTCTGAATAAGGAATGAGGAAAACTTGGCTAAGTATCATAAACAAACTTTGCTTGTGTGTTTACACATTGTCCATGATGATAGGAAAACCTTTTCTCTATCCAAGCCTTGCATTTTTGAATTCACTGTAATTATAGCAGGAAGGGTAATCTTTTGGTTGGTTGTCAGAATTCTTTCTTGTTGGTTCATTGAACAAGATGATCAAAAGAATTTTTGTCTTTCAGGTGAGTAACTTGATAATGGTGAATTATGAAGTGTTCCACTGAATGTCAATATAAATGTGTAACTTTTTCAGGAAAACTTATTTTCTGGTAAAAATACTGTGATCTTGTCTGTAACCTTTTACAGATCATATAAATGTTTTTCTATCATTAGTGACATAGCATGATGTATAAGCTGCTGATGTTTATATCCTTCTACCTCTGTCGCATTTGCAGATCAGTATGTAACTTGTTTTTGAGGGCAGCTACTTAGATTGACTTTTTGACAGTGGTAGTTATTTTCAGTTACGAACTTGCAAAAGATTTTGGTGATACAGTTGTTCTGGTGTGTCTTGTTGCTTTCTCCTGATGGACTGAATAGAAGCTTATTTTGTTACATCACTTGAAATAAACTTTTAAGGTGTATTGTTTTTTCTGCAAACTTAGATCTATGGAAATGTATTTGTCAGGGAAACTAGAGTTCAGTTTTGATTTTTAAGAAGATTGTAGTGACTGTGTATAGAGGTAATGGTGCTATGATAAGATATGCTAGAAAAAAAATGAACTGTTAATTTTGAAAAAAAATTCTATTGAATGTAGACCACTACTTTTTTGAGTACAACTCATTTTTTCTAAATGTAGGCAGCAGAATTGAGGTAGTTTTTGAAGCTCAACTGTTCAACTGTATTAATAGCATGAATTCTGTATTTCTCTAAGAATTATCATGTAGAGTGTATGGAGGATATTCTGATACTCTCATAGTTTTGTTTGAGAGGGAGGAACACAGATTTCTGAAGGCTAATTTAATGTTTCAGATCAAGAAAATGTTGATATGATTTGAATTCCATAGTGCAATACCATGTAAAAATATCTATTGACTAATTTTTTTAAGTGTAAAAGTGTACATGTTTGTGGCAAGTTTGCAGCTCAAGTGTTTTGTTAGTAACATTTTTATGCTGTTTTACATGCCACCAATTTAATTTCAAGTACTATTTGTGTGCTATTCAACACATACTGTTGATTATTTTTAGCTTTCCCAAACTTATAATAATTTGGGCTAAAGTTACTCATGCTAAG